GCGAAAACACTTTTGTGTCTCCTGATTTTTAATCTCTTTTACTTTTCGTTGTCATACCTGGAATGTTTTTCAGGTATGTTAGAACATTATTTATGGAATTTGATTGATCTAATTGCAAAATATAATTACATCTAATAATAAGTTTGAAGCTTCCATGAAAAAGCTCTGTCAGTCCCATATAACATGTTGTTGAAATGATGCAGAGAGCATGTGTACTCTGGACAGGGATCTATTGGTCCTCATTCACCACCCAGACAGTGTGTTGTATACACACTAGCTAGTGTGAGGGTGCTGCACACATGTTCTCTGAGACAGCAACACACATTAACTCATACAGTATGTGCGCTGGTAGCTGAAGATTTGGTTGAAGATCTTTGTACAGCAGCTCCTCCTCATTTGAAGCACAAAGAGTAGGGAGGTCTCCTAACTGGGAAGTGTGAAGTGGCTGAGCAACACAGGGGCGTCTGCAAGATGGGAGACAACAGCACGAGCTGGGAGGTCTAGGCAAGCTCTGAGGAGACCACCTAGAAATATCAGGTGATTCCTGAGTTTCCTGGATGACTTGACATATCTGATGTCTATCCATTCCCTACTCTATTGAAAGTGAAAGATACAAGTTTGGGCCATACATGTCTCCATTAGTGATGAGCCGAACACCCCCGTGTTTGGTTTGAATGCGAACTTTTGAACATGGGAAAAGTTTGAATTCGAACTCGAACTCAATGCAAGTCTATGGGGGTAGAACTTTGAAAATCAATTGACCCCTATTTGAAGGCTTATTTGCAAGTTATTGGCCATAAAAAGGGTATGGGGATTCAGGTACTGCCCCAGGGGCATGAAAAAAGGGTATGAGGATTTGGGTACTGCCCTAGGGGACATGTATGGGGGTCCAGGTACTGCCCTAGGGGACATGAATCTATGAAAAAAATACTTTTAAGAAAAAACATTTTTAAAGGAGCAGTGATTGTAACGTTGCTTAAAGTGAACTAATAAAATTTAAAATTCCTTTAAATATGGTGCCTGGGGGGTCCCCTTGAACTGCCTGTAAAGTTGCAAATCTGTACGATGTATAGGACCTGCCCTTAAGGTCTGGGAACCCGCAGATGCAGCAGTGCCGTCCGTCCGTTTTTCTACTACGGGCGGACGGCAAGAGGTTAAGGAGGAACCCCAACCCCAAAAATGGGGAAAAAATAAATGCGTTCCCCCCTAAAATTCCTAACCAGATCCTTGATCCGAGCACAGGCCTGGCAGGGCAGCAAAGGGGGGGACGAGAGAGCGCCCACTTCCCTCCCTGGGATACCAGGACACATGCCCTTCGGCACTGGGAGGGTGCTCAATGTGGACAAGGGCCTCTTTCCCACAAGCCCTGGGGCGTTGGTTGTGGGGGTCTGGGCAGGGGGCTCATTCACATCAGGGTACCCCTTTAATAAATGGGCACCCAGATGTGCCCCCGTGAATGAGTAAATGAGGGGAACTTGTACCCCTATCCATTAAAAAAGGGTTAAATAAACGTTTTTTAAAAAGAGGTCAGACTTTTTAAGAAATCCTCTATTAGAAAAAAGTATTTTATTAAAAGAAAATTGATCCAACAACGTAATCCAGCGTCAATCACGACGTCCAGAGTTGTCCACGACGACGACTCGACGTTATAAAAAATAAAACAATAAAAAATAATAATAGGAATAATAACAAAAAAAACCTGATGACCTCCGTCCCGTCGGCTCGCGACGAGCACCCGCTGCAGAATGGCATTTTGGCAGATGCCGGTAACATATAAACATTCGGACGAAGCTAGCAGTGACAGCTAGCACCGCCCAACTGTTTACAGGGTGGGCCATGATTGGGCAGAGTCATCATGACTTTGCCCAATCAAGGGTCTCATAGTTCTCTGTGCCCTGATTGTGCAAAGTCTTGCACCTGACCTGTGGTCAAACAGCAAAAACTCTAAACTATCAGATTCTCCATCTTGGAGCACATGGGGCAAATGATTCAATTGGGTGCAGGTTTGTTAGGAGGAAGCCCAACCTCCCTTAAAGGTATAGAGACACACAAGGGTATCTAAACCTCTGTGATGCCGTTGTGATGTGCGGGGTCCCTTGTGCGTAACTGTGCCTTTAAGGGAGGTTGGGCTTCCTCCTGACAGACCTGCACCCAATTTTATCTTCTGCCCCATGTGCTCCAAGATGGAGACTCTCATAGTTTTGAGTTAGGACCGCACTATATAGAGGGATCTTGGCGCGGCTGTGCGGCTTTCACATTTTCTGCAGAAGACGTGTATCTAAAACTCTAATTTTAACCTTAGCGGTGAGACGCGTTTTTTTGCATGCCGGCTGGTGAGTGTGCCTGGAAACTTTTTGCTGATTTACTGTTTGAAGCTCTTCCGTGTGCACCTTGCTGTTAAGCTGGTAACACATTGATGAGTGCGTTTTCCATTTGTTTTGCTTGACCTGTGCTCAGGTGCAAGGCTTTAGCCAATCAGGGCTCACAAGGCACAGTGTTGGCCGAACACATGAACTGCCGATGTTCGAGTCGAACTCACGTTCGGCTTGAGCTCCGAGCCTATCACTAGTCTCCATATTTTGAACCTCCGTTTCTTACTGTAGATGCCTCCCACCCGATCCTCTCCCCCTCATGTACTTACAGGTCATGTCCCCCACTCTCCTCCATGTCCTTTAGGCTCTATGTATTAACCCTTTCACCATTTTTGTTGTCTGTCTCTGGACACAATGTCCATTGCTCTACATTATCCCATAAATTAACTACCCGACACAATTCAAAATAACTGTGAAGAAATAATACGATTACTGGGGGTGAGAAAAAGTTGTTTGTTGATGCACAGAGCCTCCCTTTCTGGAAGCCAACCCCTGCTTGATTAGTAGTGAGGAGAAGACAGAGAAAGATGGGGGGAGGGGGGTTGGCTCCAGAAAGAACAAGTTAAATAAACTTCAGTCTCAAAAGTATATAAAAAGTATAAATTTATTAGACAAGTAATTTGTAAAAAGCATTGGATATGCATAAAGGGTATAAAGAGACATACACCTCAGAGGAACAAACCTCCTATTACCCCCTAAATAACATAAAGCGAGGTTTAGCTAGATGGTCATGGACCTGAGCATATAAGGTACAACTGTGACGACATGGTGATCAGTTTATAAGATAAATGTGTATTGGTGTTGGGTTATGTTTGAGTGCGTTATGCTGTGTGACCTGGTTATGGAAAGACTATCAGCACCATCCCTCGTTATCTCCCATTGTTCTCTGAGGGAGCTCAGAACAATGACATTCTGGCCAGGCTCCTGCTATGGCTGTCTGGAGCTTGTTAGCAGGTGGACACCTGTGGTGTCCTGAAGACAGAATGTCCAGGGAGGGGACGGGGGATGTGATGGGATTATATTCTGATCTGATCACTTTCTGTATAAAAGTTTGTGCAGTTGTTCAATAAAGCAGAGTTTGTTTACCCTACACTCGAGCCTTGGCTAGTGACTGGGGAAACTGGGAGCTACAGATCAGCGGGTTCCAATATCTCCTCAGCAAGGAAGAAGACAGCGGCGGACATACTCATCCTGAGTACGGGGGTCCGTCACATTGGTGGCAGCGGTGGGATGCTCTTCCTTGCCTAAGGAGACATTCAAAATAAAAGCAGAGTTTGTTTACCCTACACTCGAGCCTTGGCTAGTGACTGGGGAAACTGGGAGCAGCGGGTTCCAATATCTCCTCAGCAAGGAAGAAGACAGCGGCGGACATACTCATCCTGAGTACGGGGGTCCGTCACAACAACATCATAGCAACAAAAAAGACATAATATTGGTTAATTTAATAAACCTCGGATGCAAGGAACAATGCCTATAGAGGTGATCATTGGCTTGCAATGCTAGAGGAGCATAGCCTGTGGGCTCAACGCGTTTCGCGCCAGGGGGGCGCTTCATCCGGAGGAGAGGGAGGTAGTCCCTGCAGTGTGAGGTCAACAAGTGCTCGGCATGGGCATCGAACGGACCATGGGCATGTTTACCCAGAGTGGAGGAGGTAGAAAATGCACACCAGAATAGGCCTAAAAACCCAAGGAATGAGTTTTAAGGTAATAGGTGGTGAAAAAGGATCCAATGGTGTGGAAAAGTCCAGGGCAGCTGGTGGGACCATCCTCCACCTAAGGACGCCGATGTTAGTGGGGCCGTTGCCAGCCCTGCACTGCGATTACTGGGGGTGATGTGAGAATGTATAAGATACAAAAACATTATAATCTTTGTATATATAACTCTATGGGGTTGATTTACTAACCTTATAAACACACCACGAACATGTATACACCTCTGTAGTGTGTTCCCTCCCAGCATGATCTATAGGTGGAATCTAGACACCTTTGTAGTGTGTACACACCCAGCAGGTGTGTTGTGCAAAGCCAAACATGAATTGCAAGGTGATGTTGTGTAAATTAGCTCTATGTTGTGTTGCTTGCGTTGATGAATGCAGGAATGTAAATGCATGAGCTAACCATTTTTGTCTAAACTGTGAAGCAGCATTATATATGCATCATGTGCATGATTTTTCCATATATGGCATTAGTGGAAATATGCTTTTAGAGACTTTTTGGTTGATAAATACGTTTTGCTGTGTGAAAATCACACGCACCTAGTGCATGCGTGTGTTTAGGTTAGTAAATCACCCCCTTTGTCTCTTTACTTTGTCTTTGCCACACACGACATTACATTCAGTTTGCATGTTCTATTTGAATTTTAGTAATTTGGCCTCTGATCCTCGGTTTTCACATTTTGCATGTATTCAAACTCAGCCCAACTGAAGCCATTTGAGAAGAGGAATTCTACAGGTGCATTTTGCATGGCCATTAAGGAGGAGATAAATGGGCATCCCTGTGTCTTATAGAGGTGGACTTTCTCCATGGAAGACACACTATCAGAAGGCATTGGATATCCATTTCTATCAGTCTTGCAGAGAACATCCTGAGCCGGCCCTTCCTGAGAACAAAGTTTGTATTTATTTTCAAGATGCTTAGCCCTACCACAGTGATCAGTCTTGGAGTCTTGACCCTTGAGGCCATTACTGGTTTGTGTTCTAATTTTTTTATAATAATTTCACTCATTATCTCTGCTTACAACGAGAAATATTTTGCACCCTACTCCAGGATTCTGATTGCTCTCTGCGTTTCCAATGTTGGGTACACCCTATTGATGTCTGCAAACATTGTCATAGGGTTTGTTCACCCATTATTATCAAGTGCACCTTTTGCCATGTACATTGTTAACTATATGACCTTATTCAGCATCATCTCCAGCACATGGCTTACGTGCTGCCTGTGCTTCTTCTATTTTATCAAAATCGTGCAGTTTCAGCCCGGATTCCTTGCTTGGGTGAAGATGAAAATAGAAACAATACTACCTTGGATGATACTGACTGTGGAACTCATCTCTCTGTCTGAGAGTTTCCTAGCTTTGCTTGTCTACGATCAAGAATCAGCTAACAACTCAACTATGAGTATGGATGAGATGACCTCAGAGCCGCACAAACTAATCCTAAATTTTACAATTCTTGCCCTGATACTATTTTCGTTGCCTTTGTCGGTTTCAATTTTATCCATGGCTGTCAGTGCTTGGTTTTTGAAGCAGCACAGCGGTCATATCGAGAGGAATGTGAAAGTATCGAAAGCTGGGGCGAAAGATTATCAGAGTGCTGTCCGGACTATGTCCTGCCTTATATTGTTCTACGCGTTAATGTACCTTGTTACACTTCTTTTAGGGCTACCAGTATTTGACAGTCAGAGTTGGGGCTACTGGATGTGTGTGATGGGGCTCTTTTCTTTTGCTTTGGTGCAGTCCAGTCTCCTGATCTCCGGTAATCCCAAACTCAAAGCAGCTTGGAGACAAATGTTTACCTGCAAATGAACTATTGAGACAACCTCATTATTTTTATTGAATGTGAAGTGATATGTTGTAAAGAACGGCTTTGAAATTATGTACACAATGCAATTCAATATAACCAATGCACTTTCCCCTAATCAACAGAGTGCTGTAATTATAGCCTTATTTTAAACCTTCACCGTATTGAATGCTGTAACTTTTCTTCAGTAAGGAAACACAATTTGCACTTAAAGTAAAACTAAACTCCGGAGTTAAATCTTAAAAATACATTCAAGAACCTTAACTAATAACAACAATTTTATCTTATTTGTGTATGACTCGGCTATAGATCCTGAAATCATCTCTGACACTGTCCTTCCTTCTGGAGGGGGGCTACGTCTGTTCCCCATGGTCCCTGTGTGTGTTGTAAAGTAGTCACCGCTCCAAGCTCCACCCCCACCGGGATGGACTACAATCTCAGGTTTAGTTTACTAATGTGTATTGAGATTGTAGCCCATCCCGGGAGCGAGCTTGGAGCGGTGACTACTTTACAACACACACGGGGACCATGGGGAACAGACATATCCCCCCTCCAGAAGGAAGGACAGTGTCGGCACCAATTTAGAGATGATTGGAGGATCTACAGCCGAGTGATACACAAATAAGTATGAAAGCACTTGCAACAGTTTTAGCCTCTTAGATAATTTTTTTAATGTGCAAATCTCTCTTTTAACACGTGCCCCTGTTTTCTTTAGAGCTTGCACTACTTTTTCAACTGCATGTTTTTTGCACGTGTTTTCATCTGCACTTGTTCTGCAACTGGAGCATCACCTAAGAAAACACTCACAACTTAAGAAGTCCCCGTGATCACTTCTTCAAGATGAAGCTTTTTGCCTGGAGTTAGAAGTCTTCTGTCCTGGAGTCCATTAACCCTCATTTTTCAACAACATTACACTAGCTTGATAAATCTGGTGCAAATATTTTCCGTGCAAGTTCAAACACTCGCAATTGCTATGATAAATCCCCTCCCCCCATTGCTGTTCATAGTTAAGGAACTTGGATGGATTTTTAAGATGTATCTCCTGAGTTTCGGGTCACTTTAACTTACTACTATAGACTTATTTTCCAAAAAGTTATTTTCAGCTGAGTTTAATGAGATTTCAATATTACAATCACATGGCTGAAAATAAAGAGCCCTCTCTTTGTGTAAAGCTTCTTGACACCAAAATTGGGAGGGTAATAGACACGGAAGGTAACATACAGGGGTACAAGAACTCCTAGAATGAGATCCTAATAGGTTGGACTTGATGGACTAATGTCTTTATTCAACCTCAAATACTATGTAACTATGTTTTATTAAGCACTTCTGATTATGACTCACAAATGAGGGTTTGTAATAGGCCAGTGACATGCTTCAATACACATGACATTTACTAATCATTGAGGAGCAGATTTTATTTTTCCATTGGCAAAAAATATTTTAGACTTTGAAAAACACAGACCTGGGTTATATACAATTACATAGCAAACATATTGTAAAATATACTTTGAGGTGGCTGCTGTATATTGAAAAATGACATGAGATGGGACCTTGATGAGGCGGACCTCTCTTAATCTTCATTATTAGAGTTTTCTCTATTATCAGAGTTATTTATTTCATTGCCTTCTCTATTTTATGTTTTTGAAGTTTTTTTTGGATTATAAATGGATTGTAGTTTATATATCCCGGGGATTCCAAACCACAAGGATGAACAAATGTGTTATTGAATGCTGGGAGTCAAATGTTATGACACTGTGATAACTTAGTCATACACTTCCATGTGTCTACTAACCTTTACAGTAACTGAAAGGTTACTCTGTTCATCCGGGAGTGTGGGACTATTCCGCGTGTATTTCCGTGGTCCTGAAAATTTAAGTAGGACACCCAATTGAGAATCCTACACCTTGTCCCTAGGCAACTTCACTTATATCATTTATATCTTGACTGAAGGTGGTCTTATATGTGAGGGTTCTTAGTGCCGGATTGTGTGTGTGTTGTGCAGGATTGTGTGTAGTGCAGGGTTGTGTGTGTAGTGCAGGGTTGTGTGTGTAGTGCAGGGTTGTGTGTAGTGCAGGGTTGTGTGTAGTGCAGGGTTGTGTGTGTAGTGCAGGATTGTGTGTAGTGCAGGGTTGTGTGTAGGTTAGAGTTGTGTGTAGTGCAGGGTTGTGTGTGTGTAGTGCAGGGTTGTGTGTGTGTAGTGCAGGATTGTGTGTAGTGTGGAATTGTGTACATTTGTGTGCTCCTCATTCTGCGTCCCTTCCTACCTCGAGCTTCTGTGTAACTTTTCTTTTACCACTTTCGCTGTGCTCCATACGCTGCTCACCTATCTCTCCGAGGTCTCCTCCTGCTGGTGGCACCAGGTTTGTGAAGGTTTGCTCTCACCGATGACTGCCTCTGTGGCAGCTCTCCCTCCCCACTCACCTGTGTCCTAAATGCCTGTCCTCTCTTATCTCACAGTCACATTATTATATTATTATTATTATACAGGATTTATAGAGCGCCAACAGTGTGCGCAGCGCTTTACAATATAAGGAAGACATTACAGTTACAATTCAAGACAAGATGGTAAGGAGGGCCCCGCCCCTGAGGGCTTACAATCTAAAATACAATACTTTGTATTCCGTGACTTTATATGCTCTCCTCACATGGGGATTAGATAATTGCATTGGACAGAATCTCCCACCAGATGTCACTTCAACTAACATCACTGTAAAGTAGGGTACACATGGGTAGATTTGACAATATTTACCAAAAAAAACCTGTCAGAACGTTCGATACCGGCATCAGAAACTTGCCAATTGTCGCTCAAAAAATGTATTTAATTTCCGTTTCTATTTAACATTCTATTTTGGAATGAATGGAGTTTCCAAACAAAAACCACATACACTGTTAGAAATTCATTAGAACAAGAAAAATTGTCCAACATCCTCCTTCCAATTATTTTCATTGATTTGACCCATCAACGGTTAGCGAGGCGAACGGAAGTTCCAAAAGTTATCAACTGTTACAACTCTTAGCCCTCGTTCACACCTGAACGTTTTGTAGCGCGTTCTACGCCCGACGAACGCTCTACAAAACGCTCAAAAATATAAATCCCATTGTAGTCAATGGGTCTCGTTCCCACCTTGGCGTATTTCCGCCCGTCCCTAACGCGCTACGAAACGGCCCACGCCTGAAAAGGTACAGGTACTACTTTGGGCCGTTTTGTTGCGCGTTTCCATTGGGATACAGCCAAGTAGCCTTCGGAAACGCGCGACGGTCGCCAATTTCGCGGTAAAAAAACGTGCGACAGACGCGCATATGCAATACGCCTAGGTGTGAACGAGGCATACACGTCTGTGAGGGGAATTGATCAAAAGCTGGAGCAGATGCGCATGGCAACCAATCAGCTTCTCTCTTTCATTTTCAATACTTAACTGAACAAACTGAAGAGAGAAGCTGATTGGTTGCCATGCACAGCTGCTCCAGCTTTTGATCAATTCCCCCCCCCCACTTTTTTTAATATGTCACCAATCGGCAGAAGTATTATCATTTGACCACAGGAGGTCAGACACCATTCATCCAAGGGATACCTCTAGGAACTCTGCATGTTCTTAGGAGACTCATTTTTTTAATCCCACCCAAAATATGAATATGAAAAGTTTCTACTCATTTATGGCTCTTTTATACTTTTGCAAAGTTCTAAGAACACATAATCGAGGCATCCTGAGCTTCTCAAGGGCCTCCATTGGATATATTTTTTTATTAAAAACTGATTTTAGAACTGCCGTTTCCTCATAGAGATATTCCATGTTTTGTGTGTCAGAGATGTCCTTCCCCAGTTCCCTTCTCTGTCCATTTTCTACTATAACATTCATGTCATGAAATGTTACATTTATTCCACAACACATACATACATTCACTCCTAAACACTGGGATTCAATGACCGGAACCTATGTTCTATTTTCCCAATGCAGCATGAAGCAGGTCTGGATTTGCAGGTTCCATTCACTCTCTGAGCGCAGTCTATGTTCCTATTTTGCATGGGGATAAAATATCATAACCATTCAAATGACTTTGTTCTGACTTATATTGCTCTAATGTTTTAGAAGATGAATGTTAAATGTGATTTTTTTGCTGGGTATAAATATTGCTTCGGAAGCATTGATAAGTACCTTACCTACCTACCTAGCTTACCTATCTTTGCCCACATAGCTGGGATTTCTTCATGGGGCAGACTCTTACGCAGGCCCCAACACCTCCCATCTGAAAGGACATCCGGCTTTTTCAAATACTGCTTTGATATCTAAGGCTCGGTTCAAACCTGAGCGTTTTACCGAGCGTTCCTACGCGTGGTAAAACGCGCAACAGGTGAAAGCCCATGTTTGCCTATGGGCATGGTTCTCACCCGCGCGTTTTACCGCGTGTACGATCGCTCGGTAAAACGCCGTACGCCCAAAGAAGTACATGAGCTTCTTTGGGGCGTATTAACGGCCGTATCCCTCTGTATCTATCAGGATATAGCCGGATACCCCCTCGGAAACTCGCGTTTGACACGCGTTTCTTTTACCGCAAATCGCGGTATAACCGTGCGGTAAGAAACGGGCGGCAAACACGAGTTTCCAATACGCTAAGGTGTGAACCCAGTGTTAGTAGGCTGACCATCCCAAATACAGAAGCCTGTCTTTTTTGTAATAGTACTTGATTCCATTTCTTGATTGCAATTTAGCACAGGGGTAGACAAACTCTGGCCCTCCAGCTGTGCTGAAACTACAAATCCCATAATGCATCTTCCTGTGGGACTCTTGCCAGAGGCTTGTCAAAGTCTTGCAATGCCTAATGGGATATGTAGTTGCACCGCAGCTGGAGGGCCAGCACTTGCCTGCCCTTTATCGTGTGACTTCATACAATATGTTATCTTATTCTTAGTACTTCGTTTTAAGGAGACAAAAGTCACATCCTGTCACAATCGTCACAATTTTAGTGCCTTGAAGAAGGGACCCTGTGCGGCCCCGAAACGTCGGCT